TTAAACAGCTGTTGCGCTATATTTATGCAAGAAAATATGCTTGCGTCGACAATCATTTTTCTGTTCCTCGCACGTAGCGCATTACACCTGTCAATAATGGGTCAAGTTATGTAAGACACGTGTTTCGATTCGCATTATCGATGGTTATTGCGAATTGTCGAACTTACAGGCGACCGCTGACGTTGCGCATCAAAATCGCATCGACCAGCAATACCCGAATCGCATTAACTGCATTTCTATAGTTCTCTCTCAACGAAACATAAAATTGTCGCAACGATCAAATTGTTGCAACAATCATGCAACAATACATGGCGAAATGATTGCAAAGTTGATCATAATGTATTAAAGATTTGTCAGAATTTAGACGGAACATAAACGGTTTTTCACAAAACTTTTGAATATAGACATATTTTGCGTTTCTATCTGATTGTGAGGAATGGTCATTTATTCGGTGATTAAAATGCTTAACAATTATAAATATCAAATGATTTTCATTCTCATTTTAAATTCTTACGACCATTGAAATTCAATATTGCACGAGCGATTGCATCATTATACGATAACATTAGTTACCAGTCGTAAAATGATCATGTTTATTTGTGTACAATTTTGTGAGATAATAGGATTGAAAAACTGAGATATTCTTAATTAAAAGCTCGATCCGTTATAGGTAAGTAATGCCGAAAACCAATAATCAAACGCGATATTTAGGTAAAATAACAGCACTGCAACGATCTCAATAATATATCATATATTCAATAATATATCATGTATATCTTTCCTTATTCTTATAGTATTTATACTACTCCTTCCATACTCTTATGGTATTTATGCTAATGTTATATATGCTGTATTTACATATGCTATTCTTGATTTTTTTCATTTGATATTGTGCAGAGTTATAAATGACGAGCGATAAAAACATGGAGAAAACAATTTTGCTGACGTATCTAAAAACTGAAATAGATACAGATCTGAAAATAATTTTGTTGGACCAAAATAATTACATAGAAATCTCAAGTATGTTGCAAAAAGTTTTGACATTTTAACAATCAATTTAAGTATTCTACATAATTATTTTGATGTTTCAAAATTGTTCTCAAATCTTGTATCTAACTAGTTAAATTTTTAGATACTTCAGTAAAACTGTCCTTTCAGTGAAGAAATGGAAAACCTTTTATAATACAAATCAGAACAAAAGATATTCTTTAAAACGACTTCGTATTGTCTGAGTTTCTTTGTTTGTTCAAGGATCCATACGTAGACACGTATCGATAAATAGTTCTATAACATTACTGTTATATTATATAACTCGCAAATTATCAATATAAATACCCTTATCATATTTTGCTACCGAAACTGCTAAAATAAATGTTTGTTTAATTTTTTTAATACAAAACATGTACGGTTAACTCTATCCCATAATATCATGGTCATCTTTTCCCTAAAAATCAGATAAGATGGCCAATGCATACCTACTTTGTAATATTTTAATAATATTGAAGTTCTGTTAAGTGTTTTCTCTTTAATTTCGATAGTATTTGTTACTTTAAGTTTCAGTGAAAGTAATATCCCAAACATTGTTAAAAAGTAATAAAAATAAATGTATTTTTTTTCATGCATTTTAAAAAACTATTGCCATCATATCCGAGTTTATCGTACTATCTTTCTGACATATCAGAGAGATATTACTTTTTGAGAATAAATAATTTTTATACATTTTTTCGCAAGTTTTGTCATTAATTCTGAACAAGACATATCGAAAGAGTTTTGCGAGAAGTCGCAAAGTGACGTTACGTGGCGAATTACGGCGGTGCTTTAACTCACGCATGGTTGATTGTCGTGAGGTAAACGACCGGCAAAGTAGCATAAATGCCGCACGCGGATCGGCTAGCCGTCATTGACGGGGCTTCGTCCTTCATTTATGAGCGACAAGTCTCGTAGCCGACTGACCGAAAGCTCCGAATTCGGCTGGCCGATCGCTGTCGACAACGACGAGAGGATGCGCCTCACGCACTTAATTCAGCGAGGTCGACGAACTCGCTTCTTGTATAGGCCACCTTAGGGCGTCCGCTTCAGATCCGTCTCGAGGTGCATCGCACGACGTTTTTCGGTACACTTTAACGCCCCGGAGAGAACACGCTCTCCCCGTATTACTCCCGATTCGAATCCGGCTACGGCTACGGATCGTTTGCTGACCGACTGCCTCCGGAATCGATGGCGGAGGAAATCAAGCTTGAGAAATGTCAAAAAACGAACTGCACGATGAAAAGTACATATGGCTTGACATTCGTTACTTCGGTACCGTGATAATATTTCCAACCCGTCATCAATGTAGACCCGTTTGCTTGGTCAGGAAATTGATAAAGAATGAAAGACGTGAAATGAAGATTTACGTCGGGCAGCGCGTACAGAAGTAAGTCCGGTTTATCGATGTTGATGATCAATCGAATTCGCAACTTGGGTTCAAGAACCTCTTGGAGGTCTGACATGTGGAATTTGGAGGATGTCATATGTACGACAGCCGGCATCCAGACATCTTATCGATCTATCTTATATAAATAGAATTTTGATGAAGACAATTTACACTAGTTTTTATCTCTATATTATTACTTCCATTTTATTCTTATAGCGACAAGTTCACAGACGAGATGAATGACCTAAATTGGATGAAATAAATTAAAACAAGAGAAAGAAACAGAGAAAGACGAAGAGAGGAAGGGAGAAAAGAAGAAATCAAGAAGGGAATCATAGCTGTAATATCGACTAATCGATTAACATTATCAATTGAGTTCAAAGGACGCTCACAAAATGATAATTGCCAGTTCAAATATGTAATGAATGAGATCAACGAGGGACAAGTTAATAAAATAGAAGATCAATATAATTGATGATAGATTGAATCAGTTTTAGCAAGGACAATCTTAAATAATTGTCCCTAATATTATATTTTAATAAATTAAATAAAACAGTAATATATCACTTTTTTATGCTTATTCTTTTGAAACATTATTTAAACATTATCATAAAATTATTTTAATACATATATAAAAGTGAAATACATATATAAAAATGTAATACATATATAAAAATGTAATACATATATAAAAATGTAATACATATATAAAAATGTAATACATATATAAAAGTGAAAATACTACGTTTGATATACTTCACTTCTAATTAGAAGATTGTGCAGTTTGCATCTTCAGTGATATTTCTAATTTTATTATAATTATTTTATAAATATAAAACATATCGAATAGATTATACAGTTATGCTTATATTTATATTACAGTTATTAGTTTAGCATTAAAAATATTTTTAATGTTTAATATTTAAACGATTTCATACTTTTATATAAATGTCGTAATTAGAAAAAGCGACAGTAATTGGGACATTTATCCTAGTAGTTATTTTCTCGCAATTGTATTATCATAAGACTAAAATATGTTGTATCATTAAAAAAATTATTACTTTATACTGAATTTTTATTTATATAAAAATGTAAAAAATATATACATGAATGTTAATTTAAAGCATTGCGAGTAAATGTCAAAAATATAGACAATTTTTTTTTTTACATAAATCATAAGGAAAAACCATTGATAAATTAGAATAATATTTATAATTGATATCAATTTGATAGGATTTAGGAATATCTAAATAAAATAATATTATGCGAGTGTAACTTTGTTTTAGTATTCAACATCTTATATCTTTTCTTTTGAATCCATGTCATCAGATTCAAAGATTAATGTGAAAAGACAAGAAATAATTCTGCAGGCTGGAAGCAAAAGAAACGTTTGTCAAAACTGCCAAAAAAGACTATTTTCCGGCAAGGACATAATGTAACACAATGATGAATCATTACATCCTTGTTGTTTGCTAATATTAAACTGCTAATATTAAACTTGCTGGAAAACGTCCGATAATTATAATCTTTCTCTCTACTTTGGTAGTTTCTCTAAAGCGGAGGTATTTGATCTCTGTAATGCTGTTGTATTACGCAATTCATACTTGTTTGAAGAAATCGGTGGCATTCGAATGCGATGGAGCAATGTATTTATGCGCTGCGTTACGTGAAAAAATCGGTATATGACTCGATTTAACTATTATATTAAACCTATTTGAAATAAATATCGAAATAACTTAATATAAACATTGCCTGATTCTTTTAATCGAATATATTATTAATTTTGTAGACGGTCTATTAAAATATAAATGTGTAATTCATCTCTTAGTTTCATTAATTTTTAATTGTAATTATGTAATAAAACTATTATTATAATAATTAAATTATAATAATTCTTACATTATAATAGTTACAACTGAATTATATGCGATTAAGTCTTGGATTAATGGATATTAACTCACGATCATGAGTACGTATCTCGAAAGTCATTTAAGAACAAATTCTTATTTGAATAAACACAATTGTTTTTTTTTCCAGAAATTGTGGATATTCATATTATTATCTCAGAAATTGCAACAAAAAAAATAAAAAGCAGGAAACGACAAAATAGCGTTAATTAGTAAATAGTTTAGCAAAGTCGGTGTTTTGTATAGTAGACTGTATCTCTTTTTGCTTAAAAAATGCTAGTTGCAATGTTCTTGATATATTCTTTATTCACGCACTAATCATAACGTAAAAATATAAGTATAATAAAAATCGTGTGTTGCGTGTACAACGTTCATACAATATATATAATATAACTACTCTTACCAACTTAAAGGAAAAAACTAGAATAACGAACGCTTACATAGAAGGAGGCGCGAAGCCACGAAAACTCAAATGCGCAAACATACTCCCCACTTTGAAAGGTCACGGATCTTTCAAATATCAAACGAATGAACGAACGTAGCGCGCGTCGATTAGGGCAATGGTTACGATGCATCGACGCTATTGAACGAAACAAACAACAAAGGAAAAGTAAAAAATTAATCAATAACTGCTAGTAATGAATAATTTGAATGGTAAATGCGAGTTAATCCTTGGACTAGATATTAGACTGTTGAGGATCAGCTTCTTGTGGCGTTGCTTCTATTGGCAATGGACACAATTTTAACGTAACACGTCGACTCAATCCCTTAGCAGTCCTTACAGTAGCTGCTCGAGTCACTAAGTCTATTCCGGGATGTAATTCGACGACTCTACCGAGACGCCAACGGAGTGGAGGAAGATTGTCGTCCTTTATGAGCACCAAATCTCCGATCTTGAGCTTTCCTTGGTTTTCTCTCCATTTGGTGCGGCATTGCAATTCAAAAATGAATTCTTTCGACCATCGTTTCCAGAAGTTCTGTTGAATCTGCTGTATTCTTTGATATCGCGACAAACGGGATTCCTTGATATCAGTTACATTCGGGCATGGTACGGCTGTCAAAAATTTCCCCACGAGGAAATGTGCAGGAGTTTATGGCAGCACATCGTCGGGATGAGATGATAAAGGGGATAGCGGACGTGAGTTGAGAACAGACTCTATTTGCACCAGCAAGCTGTATAACTCTTCGAATGTAAGCAATGCGTCTCCCATGACACGTTTCAGGTGATACTTGGTTGATTTTATGCCTACCTCCCAAATACCTCCGAAATGCGGTGAATAGGAAGGTATGAAACTCCAATTGATCCTTTCGGATGCTAAATGACTTGCTAATTCACCTTCGTTTTTGGTGAGGAATTCTCCGAGTCGTAACAATTCGGAATGTGCTCCAACAAGGTTGGTGCCATTGCCGGATGATATTTTGTTGGGCATCCCTCGCCGTGCCACAAATCTGCGCAGAGCGAGTATGAAACCTTCGGTTGTGAGATCGGAAACCAACTCTAAATGGATGGCCTTAGTCGTCAAACACACGAATAAGCAGATGTATGATTTGTAAGTCCTACCGCCTCGTCCTTTGCGATCTTTCGTGTTGATGGGCCCGGCATAATCCACGCCAGTGTTATAAAAAGCCGGAGTCGGATTGACTCGATCCCGGTGTAGGTCGGCCATCTGAGGTGTAATCGTTCTAGGCTTGTTACGAAAACACCGTATGCAGCGCTGCACCACCTGGCGGGCTAAATTACGACCTGAGATTGTCCAGTATTGCTCCTTCATTTGCGCCAGTAACGCTTGCGGTCCGATGTGTAATAAACGCTTGTGTTCACTCTCGAACAAGAGCTTAGTCAGGTGATGTTTTGAGGAGAGTATCATCGGCTGTCTTTTGTTCAACGGAAAGTCTGAATGTCCTAGACGACCTCCTATGCGCAGCGTGCCGTCCTTATGTAAGAATGCGTTCAAGCTATATATTTTGCTTCTTGTACTCAGTGTTTTACCTTTGGATAGGATGCTTATCTCGTTCGAAAATCACTTTCGTTGTGCCAACCTTACCAATACAATTGTTGCTTGCTGTAATTCCTCCGCCGTAAAGGGACCCTTCGGTGATAATTTATGTATGGCGATATCGATATATCTCAGACAATATGCCATTATTCTGATCAATCTCTCCAGCTTGGAATAATTCGTGAACTTGATAATAGTAGGAAAATGTGTATCGTGAGATGCGACAGCTGTATGTAATGCTATTTCTTCTGTTACGGCCATGTTATCGTCTTTGTCCTCACATTGCTCAGGCCATTGCTTCTTGGGTTCTCTTAACCATTCCAACAAAGTTTTCTGTCCGCTAAAGCTTTCGGCGACACTCCTCGCGATGCCAGATCTGCTGGATTATCGGCGGATGGAACGTGTCTCCAATTTGCAATGGCGGATGATGCCTGTATGTCTACCACGCGATTGCGCACGAATGTCTGCAGCCGATATGGTTCCATCCTTATCCATCCCAAAACGATGGATGAATCACTCCAATAGTATACCTTATCAATGTTTAAACTTAGCGATGCCTTCACCTTATTCATCAACTTTACCATGAGATGTGCGGCCGTCAACTCTAATTTTGGTGTAGTCAACGCCTTTACCGGTCTTGGCGCACAACAACTGAACAAGCGTCATGCCCATTTCGTTTGTCGATCGAACATATACGCAGGTTCCATAAGCCTTTTCGCTAGCGTCTGAGAATCCATGAATCTCAATATGAAGTGGTGATGCGCAGCGAACTTGCTGCGGAATGCGTAGGTTCTTGAATGCAGCAAGCTCCTTTAGAAATTATCTCCATTCTGACTGCATTTCTGTCGGGAGCGGATCATCCCATGATAGTTTCGATCTCCACAATTGTTGCAGTATCATCTTTACGATTATGATACTAGGACCAAGCAGGCCTAATGGATCGTATATGCGAGCTATCATTGCTGATACAAAGCGCTTTGTGGGCTCCAGTCCGGGTTCCACCTCTATCTGATATACTAATTCATCTTTTGCAGAAGACCAAGATAATCCCAGCGTTTTGGTCGACTCGTTTCCTCCAATTTTGATGATGTCATGAACACAGTTTGATTTATCAATATTTGCGATTGTTTCTGGATCATTGGAAATCCATTTCCGTAACTCAAAACATCCTGCCGCCAGAATATGTGATACGTCGGTTGCCAGCCGAATTGCCTTCTCTCGTGTTGGGGCTCCGAACAATAAATCATCGACATACATGTGATCCTTTATGATGTTGGCAGCTTCAGGATATATACTCTGATGTTCCTCAGCCAGGCTAAAAAGACAGCGGATAGCGAGAAATGCACTAGCGGTCATTCCATACGTGATGGTATTAAGCTGATACTCGATGATGGGATCTTCTGGCCTTTCCCTCCAGAGAATGCGCTGAAGTGATCTTTGCGTCGGCTCAATCAATACATGGCGATACATCCTAGTTATGTCGGCACCTATGACGTATGGATGCTGCCTGAAACTCAAAAGTATAGATAAAAGTTCTCGCTGAATAGTAGGTCCCACCATTTGTAAATCATTAATTGACACGCCGGTAGATGTTGGGGATGAGGCGTTAAAAACGACCCGCAATTTGGTTGTAAGACTGCTTTCCTTTACAACCCCATGATGCGGTAGATAACAAGCAATACTGGCGGTGTTATCTTCTGCGATCTTGGTCATATGACCAAGTTCTTCATATTCGCGCAGAAAGGCTGCGTACTGGCTTCTCATTTTCTCGTCCTTCTGCAGTCTTCGCTCCAATGATTTTAGACGCCGTTCTGCTATCTCGCGGGAATCTCCCAATTCATTTATAGACGCCTTGAAGGGTATGCTGACTATGAATCGTCCCTCATTGTCTCGTTTAGTGCTTTCCGTAAAATGTATTTCGCACGCCTGTTCTTCTGAGGAGAAAAGCCGCTTTGATGGAAGCTCCTCCACTTCCCAGAATTGCTGTAAATAACATGAAAGGTCATCCTCGTGTGTAGCGATATGACATCTCGTTTCTCTTCTATGGTTGTCTCTTGATGGTAGCTTCCCTGCGACCACGTATCCCAGTTTCGTCTTGCGCAGATATGGATATTTTGCAGAGTCATCCTCGAATATATTCCAGAACAAATCGATTCCAACTAATAGATCGATTTTCTTTGGTTTATGGAAGTCCGGGTCTACCAGTGAGACGTTCGAAGATATATCCTCCCTTCGGAATTTTAATGGTTCGCTGGGCAGACGTGAGGTGATTTTGGGAACCACCATGAAAACCAGTTCTTCAAAATCGCAATGCATGGATTTGATTTTTGTTTTAGTCGTTTCGAATACTTTGCTTTCGATTTGATTTATTCCTAATACGCATATATCTGCGTTTGTAGTGCGAAGTCCTAGCTTGGCGCATATATTGGTAGTCATGAAATTGGATTGTGATCCTGAATCCAAAAGCACATTGCATTTGAGTGTCTGTCCTGCTCCGCCAACGACTTCCACCATTGCAGTGGGTAATGTAGAATGTATCGGTGTTTTGATTGCGACGTGCGTTGCTACAACCTCCTTTGCTTCGTTGTCCGATCCTTGCTTTTGTAGAGTTCGTTTTTCTTCCTCTTTCGACTTTTCGTCATTAGCAACCTCTCCCAAATGCAATAAGGTGTTATGCGACTTTCCGCATTTGCAACATTTTTGCGACTTGCAATTTATCGCTATATGACCTAACCTTAAACAATTCAGACATGCTTTCTTTGTTTTTACCTGCTCTATTCGAGCGCTTACCGACATTTCTAAAAATGACTTGCATACGAATAATGCGTGGGATTCTCCACACAGTATGCAACTTCCCTTTGTGGTGCTAGCATGCGCAAGTACCGTGGAGTTGTGTTTGCTTGTTGGTCTCGTCGATTGCGTTTCATTTGCGACTTTAACATGTTTGCCCGTTTTTTCTAGCAACTGGCATCGTTTTTCCAAAAAATTAAAAAAGCTTTGTATGTCTGGCAACTCGTCTTGTTCTATTATCTCCTTCTCCCATTCATTCTTGGAAGATGCAGCGAGCTTACCTGAAATTAGATATATTAATAGGCGATCCCATGACTCTACTGACTGTTCTAACGCCGTTAACGCGCGCATGTGACCACGCATAGCGTCTACTAATTTTCGCAAATACTCATGATTTTCCTTTAATATTTTCGGGTGTTCGACTATTTTCTCGATGTGCTTGTGTATCATTAATCCCTTGTTTTGATACCTTTTGACTAATAGCTCCCATGCTGCTTCGTAATTGGCTTCCAACACATCGAGTCCGTCAAGTACCGTTAGTGCTTCACCTGAAAGAGATCCTTGTAAATACTGAAATTTTGCAATGGTATCTATCTGCTTGTCGCTATGAATGAGCGACTTGAACATATCGTGGAATTTCGGCCATTTGTCATATGATCCATCGAATTGCGGGAGCTTCAGTTGTGTAAGCTTGATCTTGCGATATGCTGTTGCTAAACCTCGTGCTGCTAGTTCTGATTCTGCTTTGATAATTTTTCCTGTATCAGGTTTTAAATCATTGAAGCGTTTTTGTGCCTTTGCTGTCCATTCATAGAAGTTCGCTTCGAATTCGGCTCTTTGCATAAAACACTCCTCTATCGTGCTTTCATCTGTTAACTGTTCAATTTCGCCTTGACATGCGTCGTAATCTACGATTAATTCCTCGATTCTGTCGATTCGCTGCTCAAAATTTATAATTTCATGTTCTTCTATGCTATCGCGATTTTCTAGCGCCTCTAGGAATATTCGAAACGATGTGAGCTTTGCCTTCATCGCTCCTCTTTGGCGATTAAGACTTTTTAATCTCTCGTTTTTGTCGCTGTTCATGTTTGTCTAGGTATTGCCTATTATGAATTGTTATAGGTTACCCTAACCTTACTTGTGTCTTGTCGTATATGCGCTGCTATGCTATTTTGCTTCAATCCGCTACCTCCGCAGAGCCTTCGTATTTGATGCTAGCGGTGCGTCAATAGCCTTGCTGTCTACTCGTGTTTTTGTTTGTACCTATGAGGGCTTGCTTCCAGATTCTTGCGAGTCTTTGTCTAATCCGGCTCGATTCGACCAATATGTTTTGTATAGTAGACTGTATCTCTTTTTGCGTAAAAAATGCTAGTTGCAATGTTCTTGATATATTCTTTATTCACGCACTAATCATAACGTAAAAATATAAGTATAATAAAAATCGTGTGTTGCGTGTACAACGTTCATACAATATGTATAATATAACTACTCTTGCCAACTTAAAGGAAAAAACTAGAATAACGGACGCTTACATAGAAGGAGGCGCGAAGCCACGAAAACTCAAATGCGCAAACAGTCGGTATATTTAAACTCAATAATTTGAAAACAAATTTGAAAAAAACTATGAGTCAACGCAAGATGTATATTGCTAATATTAAAATTTAATAATATAATTTTAAATAAAAACGTTTCAACCTACATTAGGTTACCTTCAGTATAGTTAATAAATTTAAATAAAAATACAAATAGAGTCATATTATCTATAAACATCTATATGATTGTCTTTTACCTTTTTAACATATGATTGATAAAATTAAAGCTAATATATATATAACCTATTAACATGATTGAAAATTTCAGCTCGTAATTCCACAATTCATCCTTGAGTGATAATTAAGTTCTTATAGAGAGTAAAGACTCCACTTTGCTAAATGTCATTTTGCAATTTTGACTTGATGATCCGTAATCTCATCATTGTCGTCAGTAAAATGTTAAATTTAATTGTCAGCTGTATAAAATATTAAATTTAATTGTCAATTATATATAAATTATAAAATTGATGTAATAGTATTGTTGAATAAATGGCGAATGAGACGCCACGGGCATGTGCCCACCACACGTGCCACCGGGTATTCCGTCAGTGGCGATGTGGTCGAGAAAAGAAATTCGACTTCTCTCTTAGTTCAATTAACTTTATTTGTCGTTCACCGGATACAAACTGTACTGAATATCAAAGGAGTCACACGTCGAAAACAAGCGTCTCGAGATTTCGTTGTTTGCCGGTGCAGTTACAGACTTACTCTTCGTACGCGAGAGCACTTTACGTCCGCTCTAATAATACGTATCGCGCCGAAAGTAACTAGGCATACGATCACAACGCGAGATCGCGCACGGCGCGAAATATAATCCTACTTGGACGGAAAATAATACATGTGGCTTATGTCTTAAACCACGAAAACGTAAATAAAATAATGAAGGTTACAATAATTATTATACGTAATAAGTATTAAATTAAATATTAAATTTAATTATCAACTTTATATAAATTATAAAATTGATGTACCTAATAGTAAATTTAAGAAGTAATTAAATTAAAGACTGGATAGACCAATGCCTTGATGTCATTCAAAACAGACATTCTTTTTCATCACGGATACGTGGATAATATTTTCACTGCAATCGCATCCTTTAAAATTGACGATTGACGATTTAATTCTTTTCACCACGCTTACAATTTACAATAGAAGTAGGTGGGAACAAATTAAATTTCCTAAATATTACTTTTATGAAAAAAGACAATTACTTCATTTTCGATTTATACCAAAAATCAAGTTTCTCAGACAGATTCTTAAATCTTTATTCAAACCATTCAACCTCACAAAAAATTGGAATAATCATTACTTTAAAAGTTGACAGAGCAACTTCTTCTTTAGGAATAAAAGTGTTTTTCTCGAAATAGTTCAAAATTCGCAGATCGTAAATTGACGATGGCAGGTTGGATGCTAAAAAAAAATGTAAGCCCGGAGACATGGACTCAGTATAGTACTCCGCGCGCTGTAGAGGGGCCCAACGTCCGGAGCACGCGCTCGAGTCACGTGCCTTTCGCGAGAGGCGACAATTCACCTGCGACAATAACAACGCAACACGTGGTAAGTGGAACCACATGACAGAGCGCTCGCGCGATTATTCATTATGCCATTCAGATCGATCCTCTTACGCGCTCTCGTTCCTTTCCTTTCACATAAGCTTTTTGAGCCTCTCGTTCCGATGAATCGTCACACCAAGATTCCTACTCTTGATACACGAATAATGACGCTGTAGGAGGAATGGAATAATAATCGGGGATGAGCCGCTTAAGCTCATCAAGGATAAACCACTGTCAAAACAGCCGTTTATATTTTTGTTATCCATTATGCTGCAACTATATTTTAAATATTACATAACGCATGTAACATTGTTTTGTATTAAGAAAGAAATTTCTCTCGTAGAATGTCATTAATCATCTAACGCAATGAGTAAATTCAGGCTTACATTGTAATTTTATTAGATCGTAAGTAACGCGAAGCCTTGTTTTCTCTTCAGTTCTTAGTTGAACTTTGCGACAATATCTCATTATTAACAGATTAGTTAATCGTGTAATCGTGGATCTCGTCTCTTCACGCTAATATAGAGTAGGTTAGAATGACTGCTATAAACATTGGTTTATGCTTTATTAGCGAACGTTAAAGTTAGCGCACTCGTATTATATTTCTTTCTATGGACAGCGCGTACTCGTTGCCACATGTAATGATCAAGAGTACCGTAATATCCGTTATACACAGCAATGCATCGACTCTTGACATTCCCCGTAATCGCCGGCCACAATTTGGAACCAATTATAAGCGAAAAAACATTTGTAAACACTACTATGCTGAACTTCAACTTGAAGCGTACCATTCGTAATTGTAGCATGCCATTCGATGAATAAAATCAAAACAATCGAAAAGCAATAGATAATATTTTATCAACAAAACTATAATAGTAAAATGCGCACCATTTATATCTGCCTTTAATTATTGACTTACTTGAAATATATTTGCTACTGCTGCATGAAACTATCTATAGTTTACATTACGATATTACTAAATGATTTTTGTAAATAAAAATTTTAATTTACTTAAAATTCAGTTATTTAAAACAGTTTTTCAAAACTTTTCAATTATATATAGATCGATAAAACATATAATGAAAGCAATAAGTGACAGAAAATATCAAACTAAGACTCCGTTTTATTGTTAAAAGATGTCTTTAATGAGCTCGTAAATTTCTTTCTTATGTACGCGTGATGAATGAGAGAAAAAAGGATCTCTCTTGTACATGTTCCGCCTTAGTAAGGTGAATTGAATCGGCGAGCGGTCAATGCTCGACTGACCCCACCAACAGTAAAAGTGACAAACGTGGTCCGTTCGTCGAAACCAGCCGAGGACTCAATTCTCGATTCCGTTCTCTCAGCTTATTATCGACTATTCTTCGTATCGAACGGCACTCGATGCACCGTCTTACGGGTTTTTATATATTATTTCTCAACTTTTTTTAGCGCACTTGCCGAATCAGTTCACACAAACAATAATTAACAATTTATGTTAATAATTGCTCTTGAAGATTTGACAACAGAAAGACAAGTGAGCCAAAGAGAAAAAAGAAATCGCGTTCTATAATTGAGACATATATTAAAAAATAAGAAATTACTTGATTTCTATCCTCCAAAAATAGCGATTTTTAAAAGAAGTGTAACTTCTTTAAAAATAATCACAATGAGATGATTTAAAAAATATTTTAAAACTTGAAGTCATTGCTCTTTTCATCAATATAATTTATCAATAAAATCAATAATTTATATAACAATATAACTGATTTTTACAAAGCTAATACATGTATAAAAATAGAGATCTGTTAAATCTTGAAATTTTTTAGGTACTTTGCAAAGGAACGCGAATTAAAAATCGCACATAAATGTAGTTTGCAGCTTTAATTTTTCTCTTCAAATTTTAAAATACTTATCATCTATTATTTTTGTTATGTATTAACTTTGTTGAAAATTGTCTAAACAGATGATCTTTTAATTTTTAGCAAAGTGATAAAGTCAAAAAAATATCAGGTATTATTAATGAAATTTTATAATATACATAGTAAATTTGTATTAATAATGTAAAATATATTAATAAAAATAATCATCTGATAAAATTGCCTCTGAAACTAGACATTTCATTCATGCATGCATCTGAAATACGTAAATATCAGTTATCTCGATAAATTTGAGAGCTTCTGTACCCTGTAATATTGTGTTGTTTAGCACACGAACGGACTGCCGCGTTATTTCGCATTTTTGCGCGAGAACTGAGAACTGGAAAATAACCGTAGCTGTATTCAACGATCTCTCTGAGAAAATAAATATTCAGCCAGTAGAAGAAACGCGCGCTATAACGACGAGGCCATGTTGCAAAACTGGAACAGGAAAACCCGACGTGGAAAATTGTCGTAAGAGAGCGAGAGGACGAGCGCGGTACGGCACTATAAGGGGACAGCTTGAGAATTGCGTCGGGGTGATTGGCAGAGATTGGCGCTGTAACGAGATCGAAATGTCAACGAGAGTCTCGCGAACAGGAAACCTCGTACGTATCTCACGAGGAAATGCTCGTGTCTCTTTCGTCAGGGGCGCATCCACCCTCTCGCGAGTCGAAGTGAGTTTTTATAGCATTCAATTGCTGTCCTTCACTTGTATTTCTATTAAAAATACAAAGTGAGAGAACATGGATAGGCTACACAAGAGAAGTCGGTCCGGTCTCAAATGCATCTTCTGAGAAAACACTCCATGTATTTTGCACCCCGTGTATACAACCTCATTCTAAAATTAAAATAGACAGATGTAACTACATTCTATATGTTACTCAGTAAACCACTAGCAGTAACATAACATCAATTATACAATTTTACACTGAATGTAAGTACCTGTTATGTACAATATGTATTAGATTACATTCATGTGTTCAGTGTGAAATTATAACGTTTTATGTTAGTGTTAGTTGGTGTTTACTGGATATTCAAAG